TAGTGTGTGCCTATGGTCATATGCTTGTCCACCTGGGCCTCAGTCTTCTTGTCCACTGGTCTCCTGTGGTTTCTGGGAGGACTGAGTGATCGAGCCCATTGAAAGCACTAAGCAGCGGGCGTGGCAAAGCCTGTTTTCTTGGAAAGAACTACCACCCACCTGTGCACCCCTTGTGCTGGGCCTAGAAAAGCCCACACTGAGCAGCCCCTCCTGACACAGGCTAGGTCTCCTAACAGGTCAGCAAGACCAACAAGAGAGACTGGCCCAAGGTGGCAACCCATCTCTGTCCTTCCAGGATCCCCCACCCGATCTCAATGCCCACTCTAAACCACTGAATCTCCATTTCCAGTGGGTGGAGCTGCTCTTCCCAAAAATGCCGGCTGCTGGCTATGCCTTAGGACTGCCATGGCGGCCAAGAGGCCATGTGCTTGATGGGCACTGGCCTGAACTCTGGCCCCTGGGTTCCCACCCAGTACTCACTTGTGCTGGTCCTGCCAAGCAAAACTCCGCTCTGGCTGGTCCCATTCTTGGGCCAGGATGAAACGCAGCTCCTGGTCGGTGGAGAAGGTGGCAAGGGAGCCATTGACGCGCTGGCAGGTCTGTGCAGCGTCCCAGTAGTTCTCTCCACTCAGGTAGACCCTGTAGCAGCTGGCCGTGCCTTCATAGTGGTGCCACCCTGTCGGACACTTCCCTAGGAAACATGAAGGACAGAAGGGGAGTTGTCCCCCCAAATTAGGATCCTCACTCCAAAACAAAATTATATGTTGCTCAGAAATCATCCTACAGAAATGGGGAAACTGAAGCTCAAGAGGAAAATTTCTGCCCCTAAGGACCACATACTTTGTGGCATACTCAAGTGTCTCTACAATACAGATGCAACCTAAAGTACAAGTATATTCAGGGGTGAGTCTTCCCATTTGTATAAGGTCTTTAATTTACTTGGCAGTAAAGACTGACTGCTGGATTCTTTGGATAAAGTGGATTTCATTCTCTAAATAAGTCTGGTTGACCAGATGGCAGAACTGCCCACACGAGCTCAAGTCCTGGTAGGAGTGAGCAAGGAGGTTCCCTGCCCACTTTGCCCTCACTGCCCAAATGCTGGCTCTTTTGGTCACCCTGCCAGCAAGCCCACAGCTTCTTGAGCCTACTCCTTGGTTCTCTGTTCACATAGGTGCTGGCTAGCATTCCCCTAAAACAGAAGCTCAGGAGATCAGAGCTGGAAGGGCACTGAGGTTGTGGGAGCAACTCCTGCCTTCTACAGATGAGAAAATGAGGCCCAGGTGGTTCCATAGGGGGCAAAAGCCAAGTAGCTAGTTGAAGTCAGAGTCTCCGCTAGATGAGATGGGCCAGATATCCTCTTGCCAGGTGGACCCACCCTGAGGGTGGCAAGGCTCCATACCAAATGGCTGGCCTTGGGTAAGGGCAATGACCTGTTCTACAGGATGTATAACCTTCAAGTGCCAGGGTACCTAACTCCTAACTAAAAGTACACTGATGGGCCCTGGCCAGTTTGGCTCAGTGGATAGAGCGTCGGCCTGCTGACTGAAGGGTCGCAGGTTCGATTCCTGCCAAGGGCACATGCCCGTGTTGTGGGCTCGATCCCCAGTAGGGGGCATGCAGGAGGCAGCCAATCAATGATCCTCTCTCTTCATTGTATTTCTAACTCTCTTTTCCTCTCCCTTTCTCGCTGAAATCAATAAAGATATATTAAAAAAAAAAAGTACACTGATGGACCCTAGCTGGTTTGGTTCAGTGGATAGAGCATTAGCCTGCAGACCAGAGTCCCAGGTTGGATTCCGGTCAAGGGCACATGCCTGGGCTGCGGGCTCGATCCCCAGTAGGGGACATGTAGGAGGCAGCTGGTTAATAATTCTCTCTTAATCATTGATGTTTCTCTCTCCCTCTCCCTTCCTCTCTGAAATCAATAAAAAATAATATGAAGACTAACACTTTTATTTTACAAAGCCGGTTAACAAAATGCAATTTTTTAATGCTTCAACATCTTGTGGAACTAGTAAAACTTCTTAAAGACTGATGGCTTGTCCCACAACTGAGGCATGTGCCCTTGACCGGAATTCAAACCCAGGAACCATGAATGAACAGGCCGAGGCTCTATCCACTGAGCCAAACCGGCTAGGGCTTTAAAATATATTTTATTGATTTCAGAGAGTAAGTGAGAGGGAGTGAGAGATAGACACATCCGTGATGAGAGAGAATGATTGGTCGGTCACTTCCTACATGCCCCACATTGGGGATTGAGCCCACAACCCAGGCATGTGCCCTGACCGGGAACTGAACCATGATTCATGATTCATTGAACCCTGGCTCATAGGTCGATGCTCAACCACTGAGCCACGCTGGGTGGGTTGTTTTTATTATTTAGGACACGTGTGTGTATGTGCGTACCTTATGAACAATGGGAACGAGATTACATGAGAGAAAAGGTACCCCTGGCCCAGGAGCCAACAAGGCATGCTGTAGCACTGCTGCCAACGCCGACAGTGGGATAGCACCATCTGCCACGGAGCTCATAGGAAGGCATTCACTGTAGACAGGAGCCAGCCCTCAGGGACCACCAAGCAGGAGAAGGGGAGGTCTATGGAGTTCATGGGATGGGTGTGAGGATAGGGGGATTACCAGGTGGCCTTTTACTGTATGTTTTCTAAGCTCCCTACCACCACGATGTGTTTAACCTGCCAAAGCCCCCATATGGGGGTTCCATCTGTCCCAGGTTAGAGGTGGGAACACCAAGGTGTGCAGAGGCTGAGCATCTCGACTGGCAAGTGTCAGCTTGGGCTTCCATCTTGGCTCCTCACCCACATCTTGGAATGGGTTCAGAGGAAGCCCTCTGGAGACAGAAGCCAGTGAGTGGGGGCAACAGAGAGAGGGAACATCTTTTTCTACCTGTTGAACTTTGTGGAATTATTCCCTACATAGATTACCTATTCAAAGAAAGTAGATTAGAGATGAAAGGACAGTGCATGGAGCTGAGAGTCACGATTCCAGGCGCTGCCCCATTGGCTGTGTGAGCTCTCAGAGGCTCAGTTTCCTCACTCACCAAGCTTGCACTACATCTCTGTGACAATCCCTGAGTCCACAGCTCAAAGCCGAGGGGACCCGAGTGTCTGTGTGGTGAGAAGACTTCTGCAGTCCAGCTCTGAAAGGCAGCCATCTTGTAAGCAGCCGATTCCATAGCCCAAGTTGGTGTCAAGGATTCAACACACTCAATCTGGATGGCCTTGGCTGGGTCACCGTGCAGCCTCTTACCAAAAGAGGATTATGCCAGTCTGCCCTTAAGGGCTGTTTTAAAAGACACATTGTACCCCTCGCACAGCCAAGTGGCACCAGGAGAGCCAGGGAACATATAGGGTTATGAGGCTTTATCACAAACAGGGCAGGTCTGCAACTTACTGCTGAAGCGAACAGGCTGCGCCACATTCACTGCATGGAAATGCGTGGGGTCGCCACCTCGGGCCCGCCCCTGCCTCGGATCCACAGCTTCCTTCCCATGGTAAGGTCGAGAATCCCCAGTCACTTCTGAAAGCAAAAAGAGAAGTGGACTGTAAACACTGCTCTCACAGCAGCGTGGGCAGACTACTTTAGGCTGGGAAACCAGATGTGGGTGAGCATAGATTACATTTATTCAGGTTTTCTTAAGAACTCTATAAAATGTTGCTATTGGTATCAAATGGGTTATATGCACATCTTACTAAAATTATTCCTTAGCAGTCTTCATTTTTTTTACTACTATCATGAAATGAGGTTTTCCCTTCATTGTATTTTCTAACAGGCTATTGCTGGCAAAAAACAGGGTCAGCCA